TTCAATTTCAGCATCTCTGTGATAGATTATACTCTCATTGATTGAACTCTGTGAATATCAGAGTGTATACTTATATACAGCTCAGTTTTTTGATATAGACTGAGAGCTGAATCATTCAAGAAATTCTGCAGTGAAGCTCATATCAGAATGTGTATTAAATGTCAGATATTATAGAGATCTGATACTGAATTAATAGAACTGTAGAGTAAATTCTGCTATGTATGCAATCAGTTTCTCATCATTATTTATGAAATTGATATTCTTCTTTATAGAAGTGAATGTAGAATGATAGTTATTTATTAAGAACTTCTTCAGAAGATTTCTTACAAAGAGAGATTGAGACAATATCAATGAAGTTGAATCTCTATCAATCTTCATTTCTAGATAGTGATTGAAATCCTCTACATTCTTGATCTTGTAATTAGCAGCAATTTCAGCTTTGACTCAGTTTAGATCTTCAATTTTTAAGCTGTAGAGACAGATATCATTTATATAGATAATTATATAGACCTGTCTTTCATTGTGAATAAATAGTCTGATATCATAGAGACTGATACAGAAGTCTGAGTGTAATAGCATCTTTTGCAGCTTCTTATACTATAAGAGTGCTGCTTGCTTAAGACTGTAGAGTTTCTGTATTAACTCATATATAAGATTATCACAGTCTTCACAGAATTCTGTGAGTTGATTCATATATATCTGTTCATCAGTAGACAGTTGAGTATTTAAAAAAGTGATTATCATATCAATCTGCAGAACATATCATCCCCAGAATGCTGAGATTATCATAAGAGCTCATGAGATGAATGCAGAGATAATGAGTGCAAAGATTCTTGAGTAATTGACTCTCTTTTATTAATGATTCTCACAGATAACTCAGTGAGTCTTATAGCAGATAACATCACTCATATTATTGAACTTTTTATTAAATACTCATTGACTGTGAAGGACACTTATTTGTGATGTTCTCTCAATCAGTCATCAGATCTCTATCTGTTTCAAATGATTGATCTCTTTAATATAGATCTTGTAATAATACTTTCATTTCATGAAAGCTTTGATGCATGTGAGGTTTTTCAGAATTGAAAGTACAGTGATCTTGAAATCAGTGAATAGGTCTTCAAGACTGTTTCTCACTGAAGATTTCCTCACTGTTGATTTCCTCACTATAGTGATATTTCTTGTAGATGTTGAAGAATTATCAGATTCAACTGTGAATTCTGAGAAGTTCAGTGTATTCTGTACTAAAAAGATAGGTATTCTCACAGAGATTTCATAGTCAATTCATCAATTCTTAGTGAGTATGAGAAATAATGAACACTCAGATCAGATTTCCTCATCAATGAACAGATCATCTATTGATGAATCAGAAATTGTTGAAGAAATTATTACAGTCTCTTGACAGGCTGCAGTGAGTAGGCCTGATGTCACTGAAGAAATCATCACAGCCGCTTTACAGACTGCATTGAGTAGAACCTTCAGATTGTGTGAAGTGATTGATATTAATGAATTAACAAGATGAAGATTCTTCTGAAAGATGATGTCTTTTGATATGTATAAATACCTGTTGAAGGGATTCATCAATCTATAATTGATAAAATCATCATATCTTATAAAAATCAACTCTTTGAAACAGAAAGTCATCTTATTGATGAACTTGAAAACTATCTTTAAGAATGCTTTGCAATCTCATCAGTGAATGCTGTGTACAGAAGATAGAGCTTCAAGTCAGGCCTTATATGATGTAATCAGCTTTGTATTGTCAGAGCTCTCATACAATATCATTGAGATTGATATAAGGTTAAGCAGCTCTGTGACTGTAATAACTGCCTCACTTCACATCTTTTCTGAAGCTGAAGAGTCTATTAATAGTGATTGAGACTTCTCAATGATTAAATTAATTGATTGTTTGAATACTTCATCTTACTGTGAAGTATGAGAGAGAGTTGACTCTCATTTTATTTCTTCACTGAGTATATATACTGTGGCTGCATTTGAATTCAGTTCTTCATAGTCTGAGTGAATGATTATAATATCATGTCTCAGCAGATTCTTGATGAACTGATTGAAAATCTGTAGATATCTCAACATCTCATTCTTGCATTTTAATAGAAATATTCATCTCATTCAGATGACATTATCTGTTATCATCATTGCAAGCTTCTTATCAGTGTAAGATAATATATCATTCTCAGTTTCAAGAGTCTCATCATCACTGAATATATTCACTCAAATCTTCAAGGTCTTGCAGATGACACATTGTGGTGTGAAATTCTTGTAGAAAGCGCATTTCTGTTTAGTCTTAACATATATAACACAGAATGATAATTTCTTCAGATTGATAATAATAATATTAAATTGCAGGTCTCTGATTATTTTTAATATACTATTTTCACTGATATGATCAAGTTGATGATGTCACTCATCTATCAGAAGCTGTTTCAGAAGAACTGTGAATAATTGAGATAAAGATAAGATAATAAAGAAATCAGTATCTGAATTCTTAGAGTTGATTAACTGTTCAATCTTCTCATAGCTGAAAGATCTCAAAGACTCAGCACTCAGATTATAATCTGTTGAGATTATCTTTGATTTTGAAACAGTTACATATGTTACTGCTTCATACATTAAGTCATTCATTATCTCATGAAATGTCAGTGAACTGTTGAATAGAATATAAATATTATTATAAGACAGATTGATGTAGAAGATATCACTGTTGATAAATAACAGAAACTCAAAGTAGTTCTCAGTATTAACTTACATATTATAGTGAATATAGCTCTGATATTTTATAAGCTCAGCAGAGATCAGATTTGCAGATAGTTCTGATATATAGTATACATGATTAAATTCTATCAATCTTTCACTCACTGAGATGAATACAGTACTGACACTCTGAACCTTTATAATAATCTTATTGACTACTTGAACTGTTGAATCATTGATTGCTATAAGTTCTGAAAATTGTAATCTATCACTTACTATGTGGCATCTGATGTCACTATTTCATATAGTGAGAGAATTCTTATGCGATTTCATGAAACAGGCTGATATATTAATAATCTCTGTGAGATTTGATATCTGATAGATGTCTGATTCATCTGTAATAAATAGTTGAGTTCTACTCTCACTATTGTTCTTTTTCTTCTTTTTCTTAAATTTCTTTATTCTCACAGTATTATTTATTCTTCAATTATTCAGAGCACTATCTGAATTAATTAATCAACAGATGTCAAAGTAAGATCTCTCACATTCAGAATATATAGATGAATTTCCTGATCTCTGATAATTTCAGAAGCTCTCTTGAGTACTATTATGATTATATTCAGTACAGTCTTCACAGACTGAATTTGATGTATTATTGTTGATAGTTGTTATGACTGTTGTAGCTGTCATAGCTGTTGTAGCTGTTATAGCTGAGTTAGCTGCAGAATCTGTATTCTACAGATTCTTTTTATCTTTTAAAGAATTAAGTCATGAACAGATCTTCTTCATGAGAAGATCAATATTCAATATCACAGCTGTGAATTTGAAATTCTGTATCTTCTCTATCTTCTTCTAAACATAATTTCTTCAATTATTGAGTAGAACTGAGTAGAAGATATCAAATATTCATGTATCTGAGAGAAAAGCATTCAACATCTTCAATTTCATAATAATAAACTGAAACTTATTAAAGAATGTATGTAGATTGATGATCTGTGTGCTATCAAGAGACATGAATTTCAGAACTGTCTCACAGTGTAACTGTATTTTAAGAACAGAGTATTTCTGTTTAATTATATTTTATAGAGTATAAGTAATCTGATTTTCATTATATTTGAAGAAATATGATCTGACACCTGCACTTAAGAAGTTTGAGATGAATGTATAAAGTCACTGATTTCTGATATTTCAGAATGATACTTATTTATCATCTTTTTATAGAGAGTTCTGAGTCTGTCATTTCTCTATTATATATTAACTCTGTGCATCAACCAGTTTTAATTTCATGAAAATACTTTATGTAATGTAATTAAATATATCAGTTAGACTGTTTAATCTTATAGTATTCTTAACATCTTTCTTAAATTAAGAGATTGTCTTATCAACACAGCTATTCAGTTTCTAAAGATTGAATTTCAATCATTCACTGAGATTAGAATTTCATATGACTGTACAGACTGTTAATATGATAGTAGAATAATTATTAACATTCTGTGATTAATCTGTAGAGAATCTCTGATTCTCTATTAATAAAGTTTTTTCATTATAGTTTAAGTTCTAGAACTCTTCACTTCTTCTTCTTTATCTTAAATACTATCTTAAGATGCTTTATCTGTTAATCTGATATTATCTTATCTGAATAGTAGATATCTGAGTGTTCATTATTCTCATTAAGAGAATCAGCTTCATTAAGCTGTTAAGTAGATTAAGAGGCTGACCTGACTGTGTCAGAAGCTGTATTTAAACCAGCTTTGAATTGAGAGAGTATTTCAGAGTGTTTATCAATGAAGCTTTCAAAGACTTCAGAAGAATGTTCACTGATAGAGTATAAGTGTGAAGAATTATCATCATCAACTGCAACTGATTCAGTGAAAAAAATATAAAATTGTGAATATATATGTAAATGAGATTGTATTGAATCTGTCATCTTGATATTCATTTATTGAATTCTTGTCAATATCATTCTCTTTTCTTGCTTTTTTGCAAATGTGATGTGTTTTCTGCAAGCCTTTTTTTTTTTTTTTAAGTAAGTAGTAGTATTATTGATTATCAAGATCTCAAATACATCAATACTGATAGAATAAGATGATTTTAACTCCTGATGAGTGTATTGAATGAAGCAGTAGTTGAAATAATGATTATATTAACAAGGAATTCTGAATTGGCAGCGATTTTACGCAAAATGAGTCTCATAACCTGTGAAAGGTGTAAAGCTTGTGTGATTGAAAGGTTGCTAGCTTGTGGAAAGTTATATGGTGGAAGGATTAGTAAGCCAGATCACGTGACCTGACAACAGTCCCATGGGCCCATTAGCATTTAGTAACTTTAACGCTTCTTCATATAATTCACTGATTTGCTGATAGGTTACAAATATACTCACAAACTGAGGCCTTCCATGTTATTAACTAATGCACCATGTGGAGATATTAAAGCCGAATCCTGACAGTCATGTCTAGAAATGCTTTCATAGTATGATTCCGAGAGAGAACTGAACCATCGGGGTTCTTGAAGTGAGAGCAGTTTGTCTATAAGATCTCTATAGTTCAGTTCTTTGAATGAAGCGACTGGTCTTGGTGAAAGTAAATTATTTGAGTGCATATGCTTTGTGAGGGCCCCGAACATAATCGAACTGCACTCAAAGCCACATCCTCGATCGCCTTTTAAAAAGCTTTCACGCCTTTCGTGAAGTTGAGTAATTCTGTTTTCGATGGCTTTTTGTCTGAAGTCGTTCATCGTTTCTGGCGGTAGGTTAATAGAAGCTAGCTAAAAAAAGGCTGAGCACTCTTACCCAAAACTCGATTTGGGATCGGAAGTCCCAAATCAATAATAGAGCCGGTGCTCTATGACATGGCAACTGATGTCGCCTCCTTAAACTGTTTCGGAAGCTCAAAAAACCAGGAGATCCACACCCACAATATTAAATCACGCGTGTAAAACTTAGGAATGGTGTCTTCTAGAGGAGCAACCCATATATCAGTGAAAAATTTCACGGCAGCTTGGCAGTCGTAATAATCTGATAGGACAGCGACTTTGGCGAGTAGCTCAAGTCCTAGCTTTCGAGGTACGATATAATGTTGACAATGAATAATCCTGAGCAGAATTAAAAGTGCCTCAAGATCCCAACCGTCCATTGTTATCTCAACTGAGCAGGATTCGAGAAAATTGACACTCTCTTTCCATCCACCAGTAAATGTTTTTTTGAAAACAGGAGACGCAAGGGTCAAATGCTTCGCAGAAACTTGAATGCGATAGCAATCTTCTGGTGAGTCGTGATCACAGTATATCTGTGTAACGTCGAGATTGCGGTTCTCGTTCTCTACATTTGATGCATCAAGAAAGAGATGATTCGATGTTTCATCTGATTGGATAATAAGGGACATGTTCTTCATAGATTCTTCAACAGATGGTACTTCAACAGGTGGTTCTTCAACAGGTGGTTCTTCAACAGGTGGTTCTTCAACAGGTGGTTCTTCAACAGGTGGTTCTTCAACAGGTGGTTCTTCAACAGGTGGTTCTTCAACAGGTGGTTCTTCAACAGGTGGTTCTTCAATAGGCTGTGAAGTGCTGTTAAAATTTTTTTGGAGAGTTGAACTGGGAGCACCGAGATTGCCAAACTTCCCTTTATTTGCCTTTTGTTTTCTCGTTTTTTTTCTCTTTCTTTTCTCTTTTTGAGTTAAGCATGAGCTATCCACATGCTCATTCCGAGCTTCAGTATCACTATTGCTGTGGCGGCCGTGATTAGATTCAGGAAGAGAGAAGGAAGGCATTTCATCCCAAACTGCAAAAGAGTCATTTGCATTGCGCAATATTATTAACACTTCATCATCTGGGTTGATAACATGGGTTGCTTTATTCATTATGAAAATTTTGTTGGCTGCGATAGTGTTAGTGAAATAGGAGATAAAGAAAAAAATATGAGAATGAAAGGACATATGTATCTTAGTTACAGCAACAAATTTATGTGAGCTATTGATCTATAGTGTGGCTGCCTCTGATTGAATTCTCCTTCTGATTGGATTCTCCTGAGCTTTTTCTTTGTGTAGGTTTGGCAAGTTTGGTTTGCTTGGGTCCAGTCCTGATTGTGATGACTCATGTACTAATGCTGGTCGGACCAGCTAGTTAAAATCCCTGCCTGACAATATCTTCAGTCACACAGCTTTTATGATTTGGTTTTCATTTTCACCCTTCGGCCCAATCTCTTGGCAATTCTTCCAATCATTTTCCTCACACCAGCCATGTCACCAGGCATAGTCTGAATCCCCACAGACGGTCATCTCGAAGGGCGGGTCTAACTGAAAGCAGAGCTCTTTGCACCAGGTGAAGCCATGGCTATAGTATGCCAAGAAATGATCGACGCTATACCAAAAGGAGTAATATGCAATGACACCACTGTTACGGGATGAAGATTAACTTTACCAGGGTGGATAGCAGCAGTATACTAGATCATATTGGAACTGAATCTTGAAGAAGAAGAAGAAGAAGAAGAAGCTATCTAAGCTAGAGGTGAGCGGGTGGATATGAGATGGCGAGGCTTGTGTGAGTCACCTGATCATGTTCTATGCTCTAAGATTCTTATATTCTGCCTTCTCACCTCCGCTGCGGGTCCTTCCTTCTGTGGTTAAAAATACATACATATATATGATGATACATTAATATTTGTGATTCATTGCTAGCAGAACAAGCCCTGCTCTAGTTATAGCTGGTGAGAATTTATTACTAGCAGAACAAGCTCTGTTCTAGTCATAGCTGACAGAATCAGCTCTGTCTCAGAGTTTCTAGCAGAACATGCTCTGCTCTAGAGATTACAGTAGCAGAGACTCTCAGCTCTACTATATATTAGAATTATATACTAGTGAGATGAGCTCTGTCCTAGGTTCAGTGCTGATTATTGTATTAGATCACTATATTGATATTATTATAATCTATAATATTAAACTTGAAATGAAGAAAGTATGTCTACTTGACTAATTATTTCAGTTAATATACTGAGAATGATATTACTAAGTAAAGAAGACTGCAGTCAGTGTGAGTAGTACTTATAGAAGATCTCTATATATGATTAAGTATTAATGAGATAAGAAGAGTTCATTCACTTATTAAACTGAGATTCTTTTTCAAGTTAATATATAAGAAACTTGACTTTGTTTTCTCTTATAAGTTTCATATCTAGAATCTCATTAATATTATAGTCTTTATCTGTATTATCTATCTCTGAGTGAATAATCTCTGAGAGTATATAATTATTATTGATTTCTGTGACTCTATAAGATTCTAGAAGAGAGACATGGAAAATATTATATATATAGTATGATAAGAATAGTAATAACTTGTAGACTTGAGTGTCAATACATTTTTATACTGTGAAGAATTCTAGAAACTTATAATTCAACTTCTTATTAAAATATCTTATTTTTATATTTTTATTATTGAGAAAGACTAGATCTTCTTCTTTGAATTCTTGAGAATTGTCACAGATATAGTGAGTTATGAGATCTTGAGTATATAGTAGATAAGAGTAAGTCTCTTCTTAAGCTTCTCTGATTAGTATTATATGATATTCAGTATCTGAGTGATTCAGTTCTGAGACTGAAAAGTCAGATATAGTCAGCAGTAATGAATAATATTCTAGATTTATGAAAAAGAGTGTAATATCTAGTACTGAATAAACTGAATTACTGTATACAAACTCTGCAAGAGCTAGAAGATTCACTCAGTTAATTTGAAGATAGTCTATATAAAGATGAATATAGATTTCTAACTCTCAGTTCTGTCTTTCTATTTATTCATCAGTCTATAAATAATATACTGTTGAAAGTCTGTGATCTGTACTCAGAGTTTGTAAGAGAGTTTGTTAAAATTCTGAGATAAATAGATGATCTCTATCTGAGATGAGAATAGCAGACATGCTATATAGATGAACTATATTATTAATAAAAAGATAAGCAAGTATCTCTGAAGTAATATTAATAACTGTAGATATATAGTATAATCTCTTTGACTGTTTATAGACAATAACTAGAATAATATCAAAGATGACTTCTGTTACTGTATAGAGTAATTTAGAAAGATTAATAATGAAGTTAAGTATAACTGTATATTAGTTAACATTTGAAATAGAAACTGATATTAGCTCACTGTATATATGATATGATATAGATTTTATACACTTGTATATCTCACATCTCTTACAATATTCATTGATTTCTTAGTGTATATGAGATCAATAGAATCAGTATTGAATTAGACTGTATATTCAACAGAAACTAGAGTGACTGATAGTAAAAGTATTATAAAAGTGTTCTAGAAGAAGTTACTTTGTAAGAAGATATTCAGAGACTATAATATAATTCTGATAGAAAAGCAGTTCATTCTCAATAGCTTAATTCTCTAGATAATTATAATCAGTAAGAGAAATAAGAGATTCAAGATTCTCTAAGAGATGCTGATGTATAATATCTAGAAGTAAGCTGAGAGTGAAGTCATTCTGAATATCTGCAGCTATTAACATAGCAGCTATTCTGACTTAATAAAGATAATCTTACAATCTGTTCAGAAAGTGATGAAAATTGTTATTAAACTCTATCAGCTTCTCTAACTTTAATCTGTAGTCTGAATACTAACTAGAGATATCTGCTGAGTTTTTATAACCTTTCTTATACTTAATGATAATATCTAGCTCACTCAGATACTATGCTCAGTGAGTCTGATAACAGCTGAGTATTTTAATTATTAAAAAGAAAAGAAGATTATTATAATCACTGTAAATAACTGTTTCATAATAATTACTCTGTATAAAGTGACTTCAATGTCTGATTAACTCTATAATAGTCAGTATTTTCTAATTATATATACTGTAATTATATTCTGCATTTATCATTTTTCTGCTATAGAATGTAACTGAGTATAGATATTCATTCTACTTCTTTCTGTATAAGAATTTCACTTATAATATAGTCACTGACATTATAGAAGATTATGATTTCTAGTTCATTAGAGTAGAAGATAAGAAGAGAGATCTTGATAAATTTATCTTTCAGCAGCTGAAAACTGAAGTCTTCAGTGTTTATTTATTAAAAGATCTTATTAACTTTCAGCAGATTTATCATTAATAGAGTAACTTTGCTATAGCAGTGTATAAAGTAATAATAGAAGTTACAGAATCTCAGAAATTCACAGATATTTTAAATAGATCTAGAAATAAGTCATGATACTATAGCTTCTATATACTTTGAGTTCATTCTTATGCTGTGATAGCTGATTATATAGCTTATAAAGTCAATTTCTTTCTGTAGAAAGCAGTATTTAAAGAGATTGTATATTAGTCAGACCTGTCTGAATTTCTAAAGCATCTTTCAGATATATTATTAATAAGTCTCTGAACTATCATCTTTTATATATATAATAACATCATTTATATAGATCACAGTAAATTTATCTATGTATGAAAGAAGAACTATCTGAATATACTGTTGAAAGTGACTGAGAAAGTTGCAGAGACTGAAGAGAATAATCAGATATTCATAATTTTTATAACATGTTTTAAAAGCTGTGAGATGTTTGTAACTCTCTGTGATTTGTAGTAGATGAAAGGCATGAATCAGGTCTAGCTTTGTAACTCAGTGAATTCTGTTAAATATTTTCAGAAGCTCTGAAATTAGAGATATTATATATTAATTTTTAACTGTGATTGTATTTAGATTTCTGTAGTTAATATAAAATCTTTTAGAGCTGTTCTTCTTGAGAGTAAATAATACTGAGAATGCATGAGAGCTTTTACTAGACTGAATGAATTCTCATTTCAAATTCTTATCAATATACTTCTTCAGAAGCTGTAGTTTCTTCTTACTCATATTATATAGTGAACTCTTCTTAAGAGTCTTATTATTTATCAAAGTTATCTTCATATCTGTATCTAAACAGAGAAGAAGAGAGTTTGCTGTAAGTAGATAAAAAATATTCTGAAAATTCTCTAACTAAGGTGACAGAGTGTCTGATACTGATTATATTAGTTCAGAGAATTATAATCAGACTATAATAAGAATCATTTTCTCTCTGAGAAATTCTTATAATAGAATATCTTCTATATCTTATTAATGTATCTGAAACCTGTTGAATATCTGATCTGTGTCTTAATAAATATCAGAATTCATGTTATATAGTCAGAGCATGTCTAGAATAAGAGATAAGATCATTAATATAGAGCAGAAGTAGTGTGTGATCAGCTGTTTATCAGAGTTCAGCAGAGTAAGTTTATAGATAAAGAAAGTTATTTAATATAAGCAGTGCTGTAGATTCTTCAGAGAAATCTCTACTACTAATATTTTAACAGTATTTAATACTTCTGCTACTTTTGAGATTATAATATTTAACTCTGTATCAGAGTTAACTAAGGCTGAAAGAGTGACACAGCTGAGGTATTTTATATTAGAAAGAGTGTTAAAGATATGATATATAAGATGTATTATATTATTAAAAGCTGAGATAGTATTGAGAATTGATATATCATAGTAAATAATCTTTATAAATAAGATGTATTCATTGATCTGCTGAGTGAAGAGATTGACTTAAGACTTATTAGTATATATAACTGTCTCTAGTAATATACTGATTTGTTTTTTAATTTTGAAGAGAAGAATGAAGAGCATGTAACAGTACAATCTGAGAAGACTGTGTATAAGTGATTATTGATAATCACAGATATAGAGATACTCTGACAGTTACAGATCTCTACAGATGAGTGTATAGAGACTGATATTAGACAAGTATAGCATTCTGCTATTCAGTGTCTTATTTATTCACATTAGATACAGACATCTTTATATTGATGTTTTTAGTATTTATTATTTATAATGTCTGAATTCTTGTTACTACTGCATGATAATCTGAAACAATCTCTGTTAACAGT